TGCTTGTATTATACTTTGACATGTTTTACATGATAACAATGGCGTTGCAGCCAAAACCAGCTGACCTTTTCAAGGAAATGTATACAGCTTTTACGGGCGCAGCAACACCTTTATATATTAGCGGACGCAAAAACGGCGAATACAGCTTATTGAAATTTTCAAGGCACATACGTGAGCGTATACTTCTACCCCCCGTAAACAACCGGAACCATACAATCTCCTTCATCGTAACGAGAATATGATTGCTCGTTTTACGAAAGTTACGCGCAACGCGTCGATCGTGCAGTGAAAACGGAGAAGTTTTCTGTCTGCGAGCTTTCTCTTCACCATAATAGCCTCAAGGTATAACTTACGTGTGCGCGTAAAAAAGATTTTGGCCTGGTCATTGAAACTGCTACGATTTTCATAAGCCCAATTTTTCGTACCACAAATGCGATGCAAACAAAATACTATAGTTATAAATAGATATGGAGATCATTTTTAATTACAACATAAATTTGAAGTAATATAACAATTTTTATTTTTTTTTTTTTATCATCGAAACTGCTTATAATATTCTTATACCTTTTTATTAAATTAGTCTTTTTATGAATAACGAATCGAATAAAGATTGAGAACGCATTCTATAGTGTCTTGCAATAGTAAGTAGTAATAATAAATTAATTTAACGTCAGAAAAGGTTATGTGATATAAAATTATAATAGGCAATAAACTTTGTGCAGATATATAGAATCATAGAAAAAGTAAAAAGAAAGTAACAGTATTATCTCAAATAGATATAATAACAAACTAGTTTGTTACTGTTTTCAGTAGTAAAACTCTGCATGGTCAGCCGCACTTGAAGCACTATGCCACGACCTCGCGCGAATGACGTATAATTTATCCGTTCGATAAACGCGGCTGAAAGTTGGCGTTCGATAGTCGTGTAACGTGCCGCCACGTTGTATCCGATTTCCGCCAAGTTTTAATTGATTCCAGGAGGTTCCGCGAAGCCAGAGCGAACTAAACAAGATTAAAATGAGACGTCGCGGTCTAGGAAACCACGATATGCCATGTAATTAACGCACCTAATCGTTCGCGGCTTAAGACCGCTGGCTTAAGCGTGTTGTTTCTCGAAGTCTTAGTTGCCGGACTTTTGCTGACATTTTTACGACTCGCAAATCCCGGTGAAATATCTTATTAACTTTCCCTGACTTTATTCGTAAATCCCAATGGTACACTGTATTGTTATCATGATGGTTTACATATGAATTTGTCAAGCCCGATATAAGCTTATATAAGTCAAGAATGAAAGTGTGTAATAACATTTTGTACATAAGTATCAATTTTCGCAACGCTCTACCGGTATTTTTCGCGTTGTATGAAATATTCGAATTTTTTGTTTACAGAATCATAAAATAGTGTTGTAAAAGAGCCACTAGATTTTTTATTAAACATTATAGAACAAATATGAAAAATATACGACAAATATGAAAAAATAAATAGACTTTTAGCATACAAAACGTTTATCACCATTTCATTATTTAATATTACGCAATCAAACTCTTCACAAAACGGTAATGAAAACGACAATGAAAAAAAACGAAACAATAATGAAAAAAAATCAATTGTTTTATTCTCCCAGAATTTTTTTGAAAGCAAAATTGTGCAAAATTAATTTGCATAATAATTTTTAATATAAAAGAAATTTTTAAATAATTACATAATTCCTTATATGTATGTCAAGCAACGTGTTTAATGGAGAAATAAAATGGAATTAATCGCCCGCATGACAAAATGTAGCATGCATGTTAAATTATTCATGTCTATTAGTGTATCGCGACGGCAGAGACTTCTCTGCGCGTGTAACTAATTCATTACTCTCAATCCCCTAATGAGATTACTCGAAGTAGTCCGTGCGCGGTAATGTATAACTAATTTTACTGGTATAAACGCGGAACGCGCGTGGGGAAAGTCCCCGGTGTATTCTTAATCATAACTCTTTCTTAACAAATCGTAAGAAATTGAGCTCGGCCGCATTCAGTAATGAAATCAGGATTTGAAGTTTTCAACAGGCTGACAAATTAATGAAGCGGAGCTCTTTAGAAATTACTATAGCGGATATAATTCATTACTTTGTTCGTTCTCAGATATAAAATTTTTCCAGCGCCTCTTGAAGCTTTGAATATACCGCATCTACATGTAAATTCAAATATATTTTCAAACTAATAACGGAAAAGTATATTAAAATTTTTTTTTGCGGGGTCACAATTCGCGAATATTTACTGCACACATGGCGAACAATTTTCGCAGCTACAATATTGAAATTTTTGCAAGCCAAAGTTTCGCATATTCTACAAAATAAAATTTATCAGCACAAGTCATCGACCTCCCTGCGGTATTGTGGATTATCGCGGATAAAATAAAGTATACCGTTGTAAAATAAAATACGATGCGGTGTAAAATTATGGTTGACAACAAGTCGCACGCTTATTCTCACCGATGTGGAAAAGCAACAATTTCTCCCGTGGGTACGTCACCCACGACACAAAAATATCGCGGCGCATCTCGCAACTGCAATAATCAACACGCGTGGATCAGTTTGCGACTTCATTTCTGACTCACCATCGCGTATCTGTATATATGCGTTCCCACACCTATACGCAGCGCACACTTTCGCGTGTACCTGCGTCACAGTGGCAAATATACAATATCGATCACAAATCAAAATAATCTTCTGTGATTCGGTGATTGAGCTATCGTAAAACTTTGCCTAGAATGGCGCCGCTTGTTCGCGCTCCGCTATAAATATTCGAAAGGATATAAATTGACAATTTGTTTATCTCGCAAACACGCAAATTTTTATATTGGGTATTTGGAAAATTGGTTTATTAAAAAACTAATTTTGCAAGAAATATAGATTTCTCGTTGAATTCGTATGTTGCCGAACTCTTATAAAAATGAGATTTGGAAGTATTATACGGAAATAAAGTTTAATTAAAGCATTAATTTAAATTCATCTTTTCTTGATTAATTTTGCGAGAGTTCGCGAGACTTTATATGGAAGTCTATAAGACTTTTAATCGGATAAGAATAATATTAATCAAATTTGATTGAACATCGAAAATTCGTTCAGAATCTGCAATGTGCATAGCTTACATTTTTGCCGGAAAGGATCCGTTTAAATGATCTCAAAGAATGTGGACATGAGCGAACTAAAATAAATTTTCATGTCGGGACGCACGAACGGATGGCCGGCTGGCCGGCCGCGTGAAAACCGCGCTCACATGTCATTTACACGTGCGCCGCATTTTCGAAACAATGGCAGAATGCAGTTTAATTAACTTGTCAATATTCGTGCAGTGTCTATGCAGACTTCAGATGCTTTTTAAATCCGACGTAACAATGTTTAAGACATATAACATTTCAAACATTTCCGTAGTTATTATCTCGAAAAAGGTCTGAATCTTCTTGTTTATCTTATTACAGTATTGTGGCTCGGCATTATTTAAATACTACAAAATACTACAGTTTAATAAAATAATAGTAAAATAATATAAAGTATAAAAATTTGATGTAAAATTATATTGTGCTAATGTCAATGCATCTATTATAAAATTATCAAATTTAACACTTCTGCAAAAGTTCCGGAGACGGAAAAGATAATTATCGTAATCGTAATCGTATCGTAATTATAAATTTATTCAATTTTGCAAATCGTATTTTCGACGCAGGACGTAACGACATTAAATCATTTACGGTTAATTAGTATTCATTGCGATGTTATCTTTGATAGGAACGTACTCATAGTATGCTAATGATTCGTTCACGGCGAGCAACTGTTATCATTAAGCTTTTAGTTCAGAGAACACGTGGTGAAGGACCGTTTGATTTCCGAGAATGAACTCTCGCATTTGCGAGGTAATCCTATTATCGGGCAAATCTCCAAGCACGCATTGCCGAGTGTCTATGAGAGAAAGGAATGACGCGTTTCACGTACACATAAATGCTCGTAATTGTGCAGTCAACTCAACTGCAATAGCTGAAGCGGTATTGCCTTGCCGGGTTAATGCAATTGCTACTCTGCTGGGAATAACTCACTTGAATGCTTAGCCTTTTAGGCTGCTTCAGGATATTCTGCGAAGTTGAAACAACTTCTCCCTCTGTCATTGATTATAATGAGAATATTGTACAATTATTTGCATTTATTAGCACCATTAAAACATCGCGCGTTGCTTCAATTCGGCAAAAATAAGTACTTTTCCTTCGGGAATGAACGGAAGTTATAAATGCTCTAGGTGAAAATTCAAGATTGCGTCTTAAATGATAATCCCTTTGAGTCCCACGGAAGCACTTGGAGTTTCTATATTTCTGACTATAATTCCGGGGATTCAACTTGGAGCTTCGCGAATTGCTTCGAGCATTAATCTCCTTGAAAGTTGGAATACCCGTGCTATAATATCCTTATAGCACCGTATATCCACCATGTATTTCGAGGTATTATCCATCCCATCAAGCGTGCCGTGATTGATTTTGTTTTCGGCCACTGGCTCAAACGAGGTTGCTGCTCGAACAAACGGTTGCTGCCTGTCTTCCCATTGCGCTTTGAAACACAATACAGTAGTAGCGAATTGCACTTATCAGTAATCGATAGCAACGTCGTGCATTTCCTTTATGCGCATTCGATGTGCTACTGTATTGCATACAGAATCGACATTGTGCTCTAATAATGTAACGCGCCGTATCGAGTATCGATATATGTAAATTTTATCCCATGAGCAACAAACGAGCCACTGCGTATAGAATAATAAATGTAAAACCGTGAAAAATAAAAGAAAACTGTATTTTCTCTCAAAATCATGAAAGATACTAACAAAAGATGTGTATCGAAAATTAAGTGACGCGGACTCGTTAAATAATTCTTAAATTTTATTTCGATAATTTCACTAATATTTATGTCTAAATTCAATAACGTTTTTTTCGCATTCTCGTTAAGGAAGTAGAGAAATAAAACAAAGTGATTAAAATAAGACACAAGACTATATAATTTGATTTATTAATAGTACATGTGAAATTAGTAAGTCGGTAATAAAATGTACAGACTTTATATATAGGATATAGCGCGTAAAGTGTGACAAGATATATTTTCTCGGGGAACCCTAAAACACTAAACTATTATTATCCCTAATAATTTCCGACAAAAAACAACTCGTGATACTTTACGTGTTTTATCTTGCTTAATCTTCTTATATATAATTTATACTTATCTTCATAATTTATATCCCAATATACTTAGATTAACGCGCGTACACTAAGACTCTGATAAGATATCCTCCAAAGTTTTATCATCGTGGAGAGGCGAGTGTCCGAGTGTGGGATCGCTCTCCAGGAATTCGCGTAATTCGGACTCAAGATCGGTCACGCTGGACGGCTCCGTCGCGCTCAGCAGCGACGGTGGCGTCTGGCTGCTGTGCGTCATGCCGAGCTGTATCTGTATCGACGGCGGTGGCTGATTCGCGCCCACAATATTAATATTTTGATTTTGCTGACCAGTCGGGCTTAGTAGATTTGTATTTTGAATCGGCGAGGGGGTCGGTAATAGACTCGACAGCACTTGATTGTTGCTATTGTTTGGCGGCAGCAACGAGCTGTCGGTGACTATGGTAGGGTTGTGCGTAATCGGTTCGACTTCCATGGGCTCCGGTCCACCTAGAGGCGCTATACCCATCGCTCTACGTAGACCGTCGACAGGCGCGATCCCCGATGGTGGCAGTTTCTTCGCTATGTCAGTAAGATTGTCGGTGATCTTCTCAGCCAGTATCACCTCGGCGTCTGATGCTTTAGGAACGTTGGACAGATGAGCCGGTGGTGGCGCCGATAGACGCTCATGCTGGGCCTGCTTAAGCCGGCCCAGCATCTGCGATGTGTCATCCAGACGGCTTTGTAGTGTAGCGCGTTCCTCGCTGTACTTAAACTCTTCTTCTGTAAAAAAAGCATTATATATATTTAATTTATATAATTAGATAATGTGAAAGAGAAGCATAAAAAAGATAATCATTAAACTTTATTAACTCTGAGGATATTATTAGAAATATTTTTTTCAATTTTGACAGAAATCTTAGACTTTTAAGTATTAATTAATATTTATATAAAGAATAGTTATACAAAAAATATGTTTCAACTATGAAATTTAGAATGTAAGCTGAATATTATTTTCAATCAATTAAAAGACGCTTGATTGTTTGGTTTTACAAATTATTCCATAATTACCTAAATTCTCTAAGAAGTTTATATCGATACCGATCTCCGCGAGCGTCCTGAGTTGTTCAAGATCAACTTTAACCTTATCCGCCGACGAAATGTTACGATTCACGTCTTGCATAGGTTTCTCTAATAAGTTCTTGATCTTCTCTTCTTCCTCCTTCAGTCTTCGTTTTTCCTCGAGCAATTTCTTCGTCTTTCTGTGATCGCCGCTCGTGAGAATGTCCAGTAGATCGTCGACCATGGTCAACGTGTAATCACAGTCCTTAGCGAAATCTAAAATAGACTCGGCGTATTGTACGGCAGTTTCGTCGCCGTAAGTCTGATACACCAGATCCGTTTCCTCCTTCGTGAGATTCGCAAATGTCGAATCGTAGCTCGGCGCGTACGATCCGAATGCGCCGTAATATAGGGGTTTCGCCGGTTTCGACATGTTCCTGCGATCTTCTCGGAATCCCGCCAATGCTCCCGTTCCGTGATTTAACTTGCCTATCAATTGTCCCAGAGACACGGGTCTCTGGTTAGTTCCGGGAATAATCCCGTCCCCAGGCACGATGATCTGCAGACTGGTAGTGCCGTCCTTCTTCTGCCGCAGGAAGCCCATCTTTGAATTGACTCTCTTCAGACTGAGTTTCTCCGCTGCCGCTTTGGCCGCCCCTCTCGCCTGTTTCAATATCTCCTCCGGCGTCATGTCGTCCGGTATCGCCTCGAATTTGCCTAAACTAGCCAGTCTCATTTTTCTCTGGTTCTCTTTCCTGAGTTCCTCCGCCTCCTCGTTGCGTTCCTCCTGCTCGCGTTCCCGCTCGATTTGCTCCTCCGTCGCCGGTGCGTCCGGGTTATTAGGATCCTCGATGCCCAGCTCGAATCCAAGCTCCTCTTTCGTGATGTCGTTCATATATGTTAAAACTGGTCTAAGCTGCCGTAGTTTCTCGGGAGTGACCATCTTCAGGCCGACGTGCAGCAATTTTTTTGCTGCCTTGAAATAAATAGTGTCGGGATGATTGTAGGTCGTGGCGTTGTCGCACATGAGTTTGAAATCGTCCACAAACTCCTGCAGATTTTGATAGTTGTTGTCGTCTATTTTCTGCTTTATCGTACTGAAATCCATTGGATTTGTGATGATTTGAGAATAGCCGGGTGCGATGCTGTCTGTGACTGGCCAGGCGAAGAACTGCTGCGGATCTCGCTTCTCCATAGATCTCAACAAATGCTCCAGCAATCTTTGAAGAGGCGTGCGCTCCGCTATCTTCCTGAGGACGCATGTTCTAGGCTCGCGATGGGGCGATAGAGAACTGACATTACTACTAACGCCCACCCTTAATTCACCGCACGACGGCGGCCTGGGCGGCAGCAGCTGATTATGATTAGTACAGGCCTTCTTAGGTAAAGGTTCGGCCAGATTCTCGTCGGCGTCGCCGACTGATTCCTGGCTCGATTCTTCCCTCCGTCTCTTCTTATCTTTGTGATGATGCTTGTGCCGTTTGTCTTTCTTTTTCTTCTTTTTCTTGAGCTTCTTATGACCGAGGTACCTGTCGTATTCCGTATCCCCCGTACTAACGGAGTAGTTGAGGCCTAATTGTTGCTCCAGTTGGTAGTGCGACAGCATCGTGGCCTGATTGGGCGACTCACTGCCGTGCTCAGGCGTTCCAGTACTGCCTCCTACCTTTAAGATTAACTTCAAACTAGGCGGCTTGTCCGTCGTTGTGTACTGACCTTCTGTTGAAAAAGAAATAGAATTAGCTGTTGCACTGAGTATACTTGATATAATTTTTTGTTGTTTTTTAATTTTGTTTTTAAGAAGCAAACTAAAATTTGTTGCTCTATACTTTCTAAGAAGCCATACACATAATCTATTGTCAATGTGCCACATGCAGCAATCAAAAAATCTTGCGTAAAATACACAGTGCAGGATAAAAAAGTATAATATAGCAACACATATAGAATATGACGTCAGATGGAATAATGTATAACTGATAAGGTACCGGAAATGAGGTGCAAATCGTAAATAAATATAAAAATCTACGGGACGTTAAGAGAGATGAATGGATGGGAGAATCGTATCGACGAAATATGAAAATGATTTGATCAACAGGACAGTGACCTTGTTTTCACATTCAACAAACTGGAAGCGAGATGGAAGTAGCTCTCGACTTAAAGTAAAAATCTTAATAGAAATATACACTATAAAATAATTTCCATTGTTACATTAAATCGACTGAATAATCGGTGGGAATAATCAGGGAAAGCAATCATTAAAATTGAAAATACCTCGCTAAGAGGCCAAGCGAAGCATGTATGGCTCTCAATGCCATGAAACATAACAGCCAAAGGAATTATATATGATTGAAGTGCAACAGGTTTGTCTGTTTGTAGTAACTGTCTGAATGTATGTATTTTGTGCCCTATGCATACTACTCTGCTGTAATAAAGAAGATCTAGTGTAAATCTTGTTGCACTTCAACGGATTCAATAGACAAAAAAAATGAGAGGGTTCGGGGCATTTGATTTTAGAAGCACAGCTAGCTTCTGTCGTGCAACCAGTCCATGTCCGTTGTTATTCGTCACTTACTTCCACGTCGCGCCTGTTGCTGCGGAACGCTTCGTTTATACTTTCGAATCCACCTCACTTCTACTCCAACCTCACTCTCTCAGTTTGTCCGTGGTGAAAACGTAGTCATAATTCCTGTGCATCATTAAACTGTGAATATGACAAGGGTCCCAATGAAAATGATAAAGAGACTGCCTTGCGAACCAAGGAAGCCAAGGCTTCCTTATTCTGGGGCAGTCTCTTTTTCATTCGGATCCTTCAGATGAATGACATACAAATACAGAGCTCGGCTTGGTGCGATGCAATGATGCCTCAGTAACATACATTCTTACAAATCTAACATGTTACATTTAACTCCCGCTCGAAGGAGACTACTTTTCGAAATGAGCTTCCTCCTTGACAGAGGAGGATAAGTCATTTTGACAGATTGGGTGATATTGCGCTATTGTGCTTATTTATATTGTCGAAACAAGACACGTATACGCAATCAGTGGATTGAATGAACAGTAGAAGAACGAGAAACTTCGAAGTGATGAATCCGAAACGAAGAGTAGAATCACGAGCTGTCGAAACCGAGCAGAGATATGACACCAAGTGTCTCGATTTACAGAGTCTTACGTATTTTCGCCTGCTGCTCACCTTCGTGCCTTTCGCGTTTGTGCTTCTTGTGCTTCTTCGAGCCCATATCTTGCGCGTTCGGCCACAGCTTTATGCGATAAAAAATAACTACCGTCTCTACTCGCTCGCGTCTTGCGTATGTTGCGTTATGTCTAACTTCTGTTAGCGGTCTCGCACTGAGTGCCGCGCTCCGTTGCGTATATAGACAACACAGCGGCGGCCATTAATGACGTCACATGTTATCCCGTCGTTCCGTCTTCACACTCAGATTAATATCTCGTTTGTGTATGAGTCTTTCGGACGAATTAATTCGGCTAGTCGAACAATTCTACGAAATATCAGAAATTCTCTGTCCGATAGTCAATTAGCACGTTCAATAAACGTTTTTGTACAACGCGTAGAATCGTATTTCTTTCTCATAGCTGTACTTTTTCTTTCTTCTCTTTCTATTTCTAACGCTTCATTATATATCTGTCTTGTTCTTAGTGCAGAAGGTATAACAGCTGCATTAAGCAAACTTGTGATTGGCTTAGAAAGCGGAACGCCGGCACGTGAACCGTCATGGCAGCAAGTCACGCGCGCACTTCAGACAGTAGTGTTCGTTCGGGTCTCTGATAATTTGTATACAAAATATTTTCTAATTATAGCCACTTTCGTTAACTAAAGAAGGAACATTTAATTGTAATTTTTGACAAGTGTAATGTACGGTGTGTAAATTGATCAAATTCTGACGAGCTAAATCATCGAAACCGGTAAACATGGAAAGCTACTTCATAGCTAAATACATTTTATTGGTGAGTAGACAACAGAATCTTGGTATTCGTTTTGTCGAAAAAGTTACGAGAACAGATCTGACGGAATCTCCACGAAAAAGCCGACTTCGAACATGGCAGCCATTGCGCGTCTGTACGCTTGTTCGCGCACGGAACTTTGCGGGCGAGAGAAATCCTTCCCTAACCTAGAAAGGTGCCTCGCGTACCGGCACCTGATACTCTCGATCGCCAGACGAAATACTCACCCACGTAGATCGCAGCTCGTAGACGCTGAATTCTCCTTAGCAATCTCAAATGACTCGTCTGGCACAGCGACTTGACGACGCGATTAAAGGGACTGCGATCAGCTGTTTCGCGCTCGAAACGCCAAGAGATGGACAGACAGACAAAGAGAGAGACGGAGAGACGCCGTTTGCGCGTTCCTGCGGGCTGCAGCTCTGAAAAAATACTGCACTCGATGCTGCTGCACGTCTCCCGTTGCGCCATAGTCGGCGTCAGACGCGAGACTCCTGTTCTCTTCCATGAAATCATCGTGAAATATGAGATTATAAATATCAAATTTATGACACCAACACGACATTGAGCGAGATAATGATATAAGCCGATAAAATTAAAAGGCTTTTTTTTTTTGGCCAAAATTGTGATTTTGGTATAACGTAAAATCTTTATAGGTATTAAAAATAGTGGAGACAAAGGAATTGCATTTTACGTTCAATACTTTTTATAAAATTTTTTGTTGTACAAAAAAAAGGAAATAATACGCAACAAATATACGTAATTTGTATATAGCAAAATTCTATAATTTGGGAAATGTTTAGGAAATATTTTGCACAGAAGATATCTGTTCTAGTGCATCGCTTTTCTCTCTAAAGCGAATAATTTATGTAATGATGTTTTATGCAATACATTTCGAACGTGATGCAAATACTTGCTCACGTCGGTTTTAGAAGAAAAAAATGCTTGTTGCAGCCGTTGCAATTTTGCATTTTTTCGTAGGAATGTTAGTCCAAAATGAACAAACAAGTGTAGATGCAGCAAGTCGATTCGTGTAATGTCGTATCACGTAATGCAATTGCGTAAGTCTGAAATTACGCCTTCTCATTACATGCATAGATGCGTATGCTCCAATGAAGCATAGCGTAAAATTGAGCTCGCTAGTTACGTCATCATGGGTTCGCAAGAAGGCGAGCCGACGCCGCGGTCGAACAATGCAAGAAAATACGTTGAATATATGTACTCGTCGGAGCAACTTCGATGCTAATTCAAGGTCTGCTCCATCTCTTCTGAGTCAGTCCTGTTTGCTGCTCTCTTTCATACTCATTCTTTTATTTTCATTTTCAGTCCGATTTCGTCCCTTTGCGTCCCACAGCGGCCTTTGTCTCGCTTGTTTTTCCTGTTATTCTCTTTGTTTAGTTATCATCATATATCTTTGTCCTTTTCATTTTATGATTTAATTACTTTTAAATTAATGAACAATTTTAATTTATTTATAATAATATAGGAGTAAGTGATAAGAAATTTTCTTTCCTTACTTCTTTCTTACATTTGATAGGATTTAATTAATAATTTAATAAATATTACTTTTATCTGACATTCCTAGGATATTTTGTTCCAAGATTAGATGAAACGATCCTTCTATGTATATTTTCTGTTTCAATTTTTACTCTTATCTCCGTTCCACCCTTCAATTGCCGTCTTTCCCCTCTTTCAACGGTCTTACATCACGTTACCCTTCACCCTTTTTTCGCCACTTCTTCCTACACTTTCTCTCTTTCTAGTTTTCGTTCTTTCCTCTCTCCACGTGACGATCGGTTTAACCAGACGCGATTTTCCCCTTCCAATATTCCATCGCCGTTTCGCTGCGAATATCGTTCCTTCTCCAGTCACTGCCCTTATCCCCACCACGTGCTGTCTCGCGTGTAACGATAGCGCCAGGCCGTGGCGGCCGGCGCGGCACAGTAGCGTTCTGTAATTTCGCGTCGGCGAATGGAGAACGTGCACGCGAGTGGTCGCGCGCGAACGTTGCGATTCGTTCGTATCGAGTGCCGTCCGTGTGCTTGTGCTGTCACGTCTGATTGAAGCGTGCTCGGTCTCACGAGCTTGCCATTGTCCACGCCGTCTGGCCGCAGCAAAGGTGAAACACGCGGAAAACGGGAGAGGATGGAGCGGTTTCGAGTAACGCCGGCGAGCAATGCCGTGCACTACACGAAGCAGCCGCCGCTTCGCGATTACGGTGAGTGTTTGTTGATATCAGCACGAATGTGTGTATGCACGCGTATATGCGTGTGTCATCGGATATAACGTGATATCATGCGGGCGAGAAAGACTCGACGCGTTTTCGTGAAAAGCGATATGACTCTTGTCGCGCTCGCGTTTATTTTTCCATACCGCCCGTCATGCATGAATCGCGAAAGTACAAATACACCATGTCGCGCGCGACCGCACGCTTGTCCGCTGTTCGCGGCTGCTTCGCGTTGAGGAACATCGGCGAGACGGCGCATGACTGTCGTGAAATCCCAGCGCCACGTGATTCCTTCGTGCGTGCAGAAAGAGATAGGGTGGAATCAGGGATGACGCTTGCGAAAAAAACTAGCGACATTCCCTTTCTTTTAGTACTTTCAAATAACATAATCCTCGTTTCTTTCAAATAATAGCAATTGATTTATTATAAAAGTATTTACATTTAGATAACAAATAACTTTGAAATTCGATGAATAATAATTAGCAACAATTATTAATAATTGCTATTAGAAGATATTAAGCAGGTATCAGTAATCATTAGAGTCAATTAGTAAGCTAGCAATTACCAAGTATTAATCATTATTTTGTACTGATGGAAATTAATTACGAATTAAAGTAGAAAAAATCATTGCACATTGCTGCACAGAACAAAACACACTTGGTTACATAATAAACATAATGATATAACAGAGAAATCAATCAACCGCGATTTGATAAAAAGATGCACACAAAAACTTGCACCGCATTATCGTTGCTACATTATCCGCGCATTTGCATGAATAATTATGTTCAATTGCAGCTATTTTCAACTCGCATTATCAATGAATAATATGATGTATACATGTATAAACGAGACGCCCTGTCTGCGAAAGTGCAACAAGTAATTCCGCTTATCGCCAGCCGATAGTTTATCATCTTGTTACGTATCCGCGTCATTTCTCATCAAAATTCGCATTCTAGTCAACTTGCATACAATTTATTTTATCCTTTGCGGTGTTACACGTAAGGTATTTAAGTTAGCGTGTGAAGAGAGGCTTTCATTCCAAGGTCAATCGATCGATCGTCGTCAACAAAGATTAAGACCGATCGTGTTAGAAGTTCGAGGATAATAATGTGTGTTCGCGATCAATAATGTTTCATATGCATTTTCTGTACGTCAAACTTCGAAACCTACGATATTCATTCTACGATATTCATTTCTCGAGATATGATTTCTTCATTGCAATATATTTTCGTAAATTCTTCTTATAATGAATATAGTTAAACTTGTTTTATATTTATATATGATTAATCATAATTATATAAATTTAAAATAATTAAATTTTTGTTTGTTCATATTGTGTAATTTACTTAAAAGGTTAACTTAGGAATTAATTATAAAGACATATAATATTGAAAAATTATCATTCAAAGATAATTTCAAATTGATTGAAGAATATAATTTTTAAATTTATTATTTAAAGAGCATCCGTGGAAGACAAAATAGAAGTATTTAAAAACGCATTGATATTACATTATGTATAAATTTTATTACGTAAAGTTTATTCGTACTTCTGATCAAAGATATTTGATTAAAGTAGTTAACAATCTACTTTACGAGTTTGCATTCATGTATTTCATGTTCTCTCGAGACTCTCAAGCTCTCTCCCTTTGGCGTGAAGCTGGGCTATTTTTATCGAGAAGCGATCATTCTAGGCGTACTAATAAATAACAATTTAGTGCTCTCAGCACTTCCGCCTAATGTGGCCTTTCGATTTTATTGGTGAATCGGTCATCGACATAAATTAATAATTGCCATAAAGCGGCACTGACATTTTCATTAGCGTACATAATTCTTCATTCTTTCTTTATTACATCAATTATATACAACATGATGAATAAATTGCATGATGCATGATGAATAAATTTTGTCATTGTATTTAATTTATCACGCTGTTAGTTAGAAATTATCATCCGATTGTCATATCATTTATATTTATGATATTATTTATAGAAAATAACTTTTCTATTTAGATAAATAGAGACGTTTATATCTTGTCTGCAAGATATTTCCCAAGATATCGCATTGATAGTTACATTTCTTGCTGCGACAATCAAAAAAAGAGAAAAAATGCAGTGTATCGGTTACACTGTGCGCGTATACCTGCATCAAAAAAACCACGTTTGTTCTTACAAATCAACCGACGTGGACGGAATGCAGCGAACTGCAATAAGATAAACGCCCCGTCACTCGTGTCGCGAGCAAAATTGCTTGACGCGAATCGATGCAGTGCGCCAGCACATCAAACGACAATTGTCGCCACCGTAATAACCGAGATTATTGTACGCAATAGTGTCGGCGCAAAGATGTTGAGAAACAATGCTGGATTAAAACAAATCTTTATTTTGAAATCGGTTAAAAATATATGTGTGTCTTCTCATTATTAAATTTAATGGAATATTATAGCAATATTCAAAATTTTAATCAACTTATATTTATTTTGAAACAATTAAGAATTTAGTAAATTTAGAAATTCTAAAATTAGAAATTCTTTAGAATAATTTTCAATATTTAAAATTTCTGTAATTATCGATTTCGTCATTTATGTTATTTAATTTTTCATTGACATGAAAGAACATCCAATAATTTTACGACACTATGTATTCGTCATTTCCGTGTACTTAAGGTGCGCCAAAGTTTGTACATTCTGTTCTATTTGTGGCGCTGAGAGATTTTATCGCATTTGACACGCGATAGTTAAAACAGATATCGATGTTTAATGTCTTGTTGGTGGCAAGTTTCAATCATGAATCATACGACCCTTCAAACTTGAAGCTCAATATAAACTGCATTATGCACACACACACACACACGCGCGCGCGCGAGCGAGCGATGAGAGTATAAATTATTTTAATGGGCAATTTTAAAAAATAGAAAGAATTGTGTTGAAAAATTATTGAAAGAGAAAATGTTAATTTTTAAACAATTTTTGTTGCAACAGTTAGTTTTAACTTTTACTCTTCCTATGAATTCAATATTATATCTGTTCCATTTAAAAAAGATATTTTTTGTGTTCTTGAATAAAAAATATCCTCTAAAATACATATTTATGAGATTTTGCATATATCTATAAGTCGGGTTCCGTAAAAATGAATGAATAATTATTCGGATTATTAAAGTTTCATCTCCAGAAAATCAAAGCACGGTGATCCAGGATTAGAACGTTCGCGCGATCCGCATCTCGCTTACGTTATGATTATGCGCGTCAGTCCGATTCTCCGTAAAGCGCGTTTAATTTGGCACGCGATAAACATTCACGCGAAGAAGGTCGCCGCTGTTCGGCGTTCTGCAACGGCAGCTGCAGCTGCAGCGACGCGTCTTCTGGAATAAGTATTTATACACGTGGAACGCGAAGCTGCGAAAAAATCCGATCAATCTCGCGAATTCAACGCGAACTGATCGATAAAAAGAGATTGATCTCTTCGATTCATTAATCTTCGCGTGAGAACAACTCGTGATACCGATCCGAAAGCCGAGCTTAGTCGACGAAAAACCTCGTTCTAGCAGGGCCAGACAGAATCGAGAAGGGCATAAAGGGAGGGCTACATGTTTGTCTGCTACAAAAGCAGAATCGACGGGGGTCGATAAACGCGTAACCCCATCTTGTCCCTGCGATTGTACACGTGTCACTCTTGTGCTCCTCTTTTCTTCCGTGAGAATCTTCTGTGAGAAGATTTGTTTGCTTTCGCTTTTTCTTCTTGAACTCTATAACGCACGAAACTTTATCCTTATAAATAATTGTTTGTTAAATCATTCGTGAAAGTTAAAGTAGAATGACTTAAATACATATAAAGTAAAACTGATTAAAATAGTTTATAAAATTTGAGAAAAAAAAATGTACTCTAAAAATTAAAAATAAAAATTCTGAAAAAATAGGTTTACAAAAATTGACGTAAATTGTATTAATCTTGGTAGCAAAGTTCACCTTTCAATTTTACAGTTATTATCTTTGCACTTATTTTAATTAATTTCAAATGTTTTAATATGCAACTGAATTAATTTACTTAGTTATACTATATCCAATTTTCCTATACAATTTACAAATTACAATTAATATTTAATGATTTCAATATATCAGATTATAATGTGCGATTGTTATTCTCATTATGCATACACTTAACTGCTCATTTAGCGTTAAATGTGATTCACTTTGTGTTGTCATTGAACTCAATCTTCATATTAGATTTAAATAAAAGATTAGCCACATTTAAATGTTCAAGGAAAATTCTTGTACATATCTTTATCTATGTAATAAGTGTACATACGTGTATGCATACGCTTGCACAAGAAAACTCGGTACGTAAATGCGATGTAAGGTTCGTGGCGCCCTCGAACAACCGTAGCCAGAGGATGCGACTGCCAGGCAGAAACTTTTTTACCTGTGTATCCACCCACGCAGGGGATGATTTTTATGCAGAAAATGTTGATATCTTGTTTTCAGAATAGTTTTTTATCTTTATATCTTAAGATGCTATCATTTTTTTCTGCATAGCAACATCAAAATTATTTTAAATAATAGCTTAATTAATTCTTTTACATTTTTATTTTACATTTACATTTACATTTACATTTACTTTTACATTTACATTTTTAAAAGATATTTTTTCTATAGAAAAAAGTAAAAAAGTAAAAAAGTAAAAATTGTATAGAATATATTTTATATATATAAAACAATACAAAACATTTTTTTATTTCTTTTGTCGATTGATTAAATTTTTTTGTGAAATATAAATTTAAACAGCACTAATTAATAGCTTAATCTAATAGTCAATTAGTTACAATTAGCGACAATTAGTTACAATTAATTACAGTAAATTTTGAAAGAGACCATATATTTTTCTTCATAACATCGAAAAAATTAACTGGATCAATATATTCAAAAAATTTATACACTCAGTCGCAATTGTATCCTCCGTTAGTATTGCACGTTATTTTCGTAAAATGTAACATAC